TTTTGTCAAATAATATTTAAGAGATCTTTTGTCAAATAATATTTAAGATAAACGAGAAAAATACTTGTAATTTTTTATTGAGAAATTAATTATTTAATCTATATATATATTAAAATGTATCATTCAGCAATGAAGTTGTTTATTTGGCAAATATAAGTACACTGTGGAACAACTAGTATGAGCTATTTGTTAGTCTGATTATAGAAACTTCTGTACACATTTTATTGGTCTATGTTGTCTACTGTTTGTTTTTATACCTTTTTTCTCAAATATTTTTTGTAACATCTAGTCCTCCCATTTCTTTGTAGTTGGTACTCAATAGAACATTTTTCAAAGAAAATACATAACAGAGCAACAAAATATTTAGTAAATATTCTGTATACTTTTTTTTGTTTTGTTTTGTTTTTTTGTTTTTTTTGGTTTTTCTCCGGTACCGGGAACCGAACTCACGACCTTGCGCTTGCCAGGCAGGCGCTTTTAGCTGCTGAGCTAAATCCCCAGCCCCTATATTCTGTATACTTTAAGGAAATCTTAACTTATTAACCATAACAATTTGAAAAATATTTTTAAAAGTCAATTTTAATTTGCTGTCACAGACACATATTTGGGACAGTTTATATCTACATGCATATATGCATAAGTATCCACGTACATATATGTATTCTTTTGCACCTTCTAATACTGCAGTTCTTCTTATAAATATATGCACAAATGAATGGAAGAGACTCAAACAGAGCAGTATATGTCATTATACTATTATTTACAGCTAAGAAGTGGGAATAATCCAAAGGACCATCAAGAAATGAATAGATAAAATATAACAGGATAATAACTGCACAGTATTTGGACACCAAAAGGAATCAACTTCTAATAAATGCTACAACTGTGATGATTTTAAAAGGTTGCACTAAGTAAGATAGATGCAAGAGAACAAATGTATCATCTGAAATTGCCTGTGATGTCCAGAGCAGGCAAAGGAGACTGGAGGGTAACTACAGGCTTCACAGAGAAGATGATCGGGACTTCACGCTGAAAGGGGGTATACTTTCCTTCTGAGTGATGGAAATTTTGGAAACAATACTGATTATTCTGCAATATTGTAAACATAATGAAAACCAAATTTGCTCCAACTTTGTAACTTCATGAGTTTGTCTGCTTGTGAATACAGACCATGAGTTTTATAAAATCTGGCCTTCTCCAACACCCTCTGTCTCCCAAACTATCCCTGTAATTACAATTTCAATAGGCAAGATGGACCATGAAAACTAGAAACTTCGTTTCCAGAAGGTGTAGACCTGGTATTTTATGCTACATGGGCAAAACAAGGGGTTTTGCTACAGTAATGTGGTCTATTAGGACCTGGGATATTTACAGCTTCTTGGACTAAGACTGTGAACTGGGAAGTGAACACCCCAGCAGTTTACCAAGCTCATCTTGCAACAGCAGCTATACTTTTAAAATATATATATATCTTGGCTGTTCTGAGCCATTACATGCATTCGCAGTGAAGAAAAGAGAGCATGATATTGCCTAAAACCAAGGAAGCAATGTGACCTACTTACCTTTGAATATTCTCTTGAGCACGCCCAAGTACCAGCTGTTGGAGCACACAAGTCTTATGCACTTGATGTGTGTAAGCAGGGCCTGTGTTGAAATCGTTGGCTGAAAATAAAGCAACTTATAAAAAGCCAGACTTAAAAAAATACAGAGGAAGAAAAAGAAAGCAGTGTCATGAGTATGCATATATATGGAAAGCCTCCCTCACTTTAGTTTTGGGATAAAGTTACCAATGGGAAAAATATAGTGTTCAGCGATAGTATAACATATTGTCTAAAATGTCCAGCTGGACAGTATATGTCATCTTCAACATGAAAATAGCCACCAACAAGCAAAACCTAAAAATTCCTGAGTGGAATGAGATGTTGAATTTAGAAAATAAACGCTTCAAAGAGAATGTTATAAACACAATTAAGTATTTTTTTTTTTTTAAGTAGGACGGTAATTTTTCTAAAGAAGCAATCTCAGATAAAAGGAGGCAGCTTGAAGTAGACAGAAACACAGAAGACATGAGTGGCACAGAAAGTACTAAAGGCATCTAACAGGCTGAAAGAAAAGAAAAGCAAGTAGATGCTCAGACCCACATGAAGATTTGAAGACATCTAAAAGTGGCAAATGTGTGCAAATGTGTGGCTAATTATACAAGACCATGATGGAAGGAATTCTGAAGAATTCCTCAAGAGAGGAATTTCTCAAGAACTCAAGCAGAAAGTCCTAAGGAAAATACTAACTCCAACATCTTCATCTCAGAATTCCAATCTCCAGAACTGGGAAAAAATTCATTTCCCTTGTTTAGTCTAACCGTGTGGTAACTTGTTTTGACATCCTAGCAAACATAACATGTTTTTTAAATTTTATTGTCTTAAAGTTTTTAGAAATCAATGGATTATGTGAAATAACAGTTGAAACACTTCACAACTGGAAATTTGTACACAAGAAAATAATACTAATACTGGAAAGGAAGTAACTTTTATAAATACTAGATCACAGTATAAATGTAAAACAAAAAAGTTTAAACTCATATGTAAATGTAGGGAAAATCAGATGGCTTTGATTTTAGTGATGACATCTAGATCCAATAGGAAAATTATAATCCAAGAATTAAAAATGGAAATATTATTTCATTAAAAGTAAAACAGTGTGACTGTACTAAGGGTGTAGAAATATAAAGCACAGCTTGGGAGAAAATATTCAAAAATCCCATATTAATAGAAGATTATTATCTGAAATACACAGGGAACTCTTAAAACTCAACAATGCAGCTATCCTATGTACATATTTTTTCTCTTCTTTCTTTTTCTTTATTATTTCATTTAAAATAAAAAAACTCAACAGTACAAAATTAAGAATTGGACAACTTTAATGGAAAGTTTTTTTTTAAGAAGATAGAAGGTGGAATATAAGCATATTGGAAGATATTTAACAGTACATGTCATTAGAAAATCACAAATTAAAGTAAAAACCTTCCATTATTATAATACTTCCATTATTACTCATATTACAGAGACAAAAATACAAATTTCTAACTATACCAAATGATTCTGAAGATCTGGAGTCACATAAAATTTTACTGGTTGTAGTGGAAGAACATACAACCACTTTGAAGACTGTCAAATTTACATGCATGAACACATGCACAATGCTCACATTTTTGCAATATGACCCTGCAGTTGCACCCCCTGCATTTATCTAAATGAGTTGAAGATTTGTGTTCATACAAAAACTTCAACAATATTTATTGCAAATATATAGCTGATGGCCAAAACTTGGAAGGAAAGAAATGTCATTCAATGAATGAATGATTGTGCAGACGTTTGTATATTCACAGTCTGTAATTCATTGACAAAAACATAACCTACCAAGCTAGGAAAGCAGAGAGCAAACTTAAATACATATTACTAAATAAAATAAGACAATCTAAAAATGCAACATGCACTATAATTCCCACTATGTGATGCTCTGGAGGAGACAAAAATCTGGAGGGAATGAGATTAGCCATCTACAGAGCAAGGAAGAATATATAATTAGCTAGAACACAGGGAGCTTTTAAGTCAGTTCATATACATAGCATGGTAATCGCAGAGAGGGGTTATGTTACATTTATTAAAAGTTATTAGAAGGAACAAGACGGAATAAATCTTAGTGTAAATTAAGGAATGCAATTCAAATAATAATAAATCCAAATTGACTTGTCAATTGTGCATAGTAAACATAGCATATTAATGAGAATTATTAATAGGAAAAGCTAAGAAAAAATAAAAGGGGTTATATGGCAACTCTCTGTACTTTCTTAATGTTCACAGAAAGCCCGAACTATCTCTAAAATAATCTTTTAATTTAACAAAAAAATTAATAAAAGAGTAGTTCATAACAGTATATAGTAACCTTGTATAAATTAAAATATGTGCACAGAGCTTGCAAACAAATGCAGCCATCTGCATGTTTTGTATGTCCACTGGTTGGACCATGCACGATGTTAGAGTGGATTAAAATTCAATGTACAAGCAGCGTTTGCCATGGAGACAGGAATGGAAACAGAAAACAAGAGAAGATGGCAGAAATCAGGGAGGCGATCATACTGTGCCTCCTAAAGCTTCCGTACTTTTCACCTCAGAGAATAAAATGCAAACTAAATGATACATGAGTAACCAAACTTGCAACTGT